TCGATTCGATTTGAAAAAATCAAATCAAATTCAAATTGCTTAAATATTTGATTCGATTCGATTTTGAGGAACCCTACTTAGTACTGATCTTCCTCCTGCAATCACTTGATTTTATTTTTATTAAGGTATTTTTTTATTTGAGTATGCTTTTGACAATCTGAATGATAATGTATAATCTCTATTATCATTGAAATCATAACAATAAGGTATATAGAAACCCAGTACAGTATAATTATAAAAAGTATCATATTGTATCACTAGTCATATATATAAATTATATAAATGCTTACTATTATGAGATTAGTATAATACAGTATGCTACTTTACCAAATATATAGTCATACTGTGCTAGTTTCAATAATTTATAGAACCAGTATAATTTGAAGGATCATACCAATCTGCATGATCATATTGTACTGATCAGCTAAACTTTACTGTATTGTTTGTCTTCTCCCTGGCTCTTGGCTAGTTTAAGGAGGCCTATTATCACGTGATCACAAAGGCATACAAGAGTAGCTGTGTTGTTGTGATATCAATAGAGGATTTTATAATCTAATAATGGTAATGTGATGCTAGTAATAGAAACATAGATTTACAACATTTTATTTTATTCTTTTAAATATGTAAGGACTTTGCATTATCTAATGTTATAGGTATTATGATTTATGTGACTACCAGCTGAAAATAAAAATTATTATAAGACTTAGTAGTACCAGCCATTAGAATCAGTGTTGATGGCTAAGTCGACTCTGCAAAAATCATTTAGAGTCAACTTCAGAATTTTCAATAACTGAACCATGACTGAATCGCTGTTCCAAATTTGATATAAGGTCAGAATTTTGTGAAATTTTTAATTAAATAAAAACTTCAAATTTTAAGTCAAATGGGATTCTTGTCAACATTATTTATGATGAAACTTATAATTATCTATTTTTTTGCAACATTAATTAAATTTTAAAAATTTGATAAATATTAAGGTATTAATAATACAATTAAGGTCGCTAATTTCAAATGAGAGTCTCGACTCAGTCGACTGAAAAGTCTCTAACGGCTTTATTTCCTATTCCTAAATGCTTTCGAAATAATAATAGACATGACGAACTATTTAATTATCTTGATAGTTCATCAGAACCAAGAACTATAAATGTATTGGAATGGTGGAAAGATCACGAAATTAATTATCCAACATTATCTATGATAGCGCGTGATTATTTATCAATACCGTCTGACTGAGTCGACTCCAGAATTTATCACGACTGGTAGGTACTACTAGTATGACTAGTCCCGTTTAATGGCATCTTCAATGTTAAGAAGCTTTAAAACATTGCATTTAATTTCAGGCCAATCCTCCATATTCCAATCACCCTTTTTAATTGCTTCCTTTATATATCTCCGAGTCATTTCGACATCTACATGGTAATGACTAAAACATGAAAAAAATAAAGTTCAAATACATTATATTGGTTTAAGAACAACAAAAGTACTTACATTACTTCAGGAAACCAAGTTCTATAACGTCTTAGTCGAGGTGGTAGAAATAGTTCTATTTCTGCTATAATTTCAGCTTTTTGTGCTAAATACGAAGCTCTATATTTATCTTTTTCAATTGCCATATTAAGTAGACCAATAAATAAATACATGACAACCAAAAACGAAAATACAGCCATCAAAATGAACAACATCCTGTTTTCAGACGTTGTCCAAGATGATAATGAATCTTGATTTCCTAATTTATAGGTTAGTTAGTATGAATTATTATAGTATAGTTTATCCGAAAATATGCTAAAAATAAAAAAGATTTACCTGCTAAGAATAAATACATTGCAAGAAGAGAAGTGGGATATGAATAAAATAAATTGGTCTTTTCATCAGGTTTGAATAAGTGTTTGATTTAAAATATTTCCATTTTCATCGGTTTGATAAAAAGTATTAGAAATGACCCAAGGATTATTTGGATCGCTTAAATTTTTTGTCGCTAATGAATCTAAAAGATCATGAGGATGTAAAAGTAAAAAAAATGCATGCGCAAAACTTGCGAGAATAATTGTCAACACAACTAAAAAAGAAAATACACGCTTAGCCACTCCGAACATTATTACAAAATAAACACCAAAGGATTCTAATACCCTAAAGAAAAGTAAAAATTTTAAATCTAATAATAAACATGTGACCGATAATGCCCAGTATGGCACTTCTTCATATTTAATCCAATAGATCGATGTTATAATAACTGAAAGGTATGCACTTAAATCTTTTTTTAAAAAAAATTTAATAAGTTATAACTATCATAATTTTCAACTGTCAAAATGAAAATTGCATTTACCAAACCAATTCCAAATACGGAGAAAATATTTTTTAGGGTTCCAAATAAATTGTCTAAACTCAAATACAAGGAATATAAATCCAGACGCTATTGAGATTTGATAAAATCCAAAACGGGTTTCTTGCGTAATGGAATTTGAAGGGTATGAAGCAAATGTAAAAAATAAAAGGAAAATTGTAAAATCACGCCAACTAGCAAAGTAACGAGTCTCCCAAACTTTTTCCATTTAAAATTTATGATTGCTTCACCATTCCAATTTGCATAGAAATCTTTTTTACAGGTATTAACAAAAACGCTCGGTTGATGTTGAAATATTTCTGTTAACCATCTGTAATCTGAAGGATAGAAAGAATATTTCATATAAGGAACTATAAGAGTAATATGTTGCTTAACTTTAATATTTCTCTCAAAAATTTTATAATAAATCGAATAAAATTTTCCGATTAATTTCGGTGATATTAATATTAACGCGTTTGATGTAATTTGCAATACTCTCGAGATATAGAAAAGACTTAAAGCTAATCTATCTTTTATAATAATTAATGGTATAAGAAATATTAATAATAAATGAAGCAATATAAAAATATTACTTAAATAAGTCCTCTCAGTTTGCATATTTGAGATATTATGGATTTTATGGCTATTGGGTTTTCTAATATATCCATTTCGTCACTAAAAGCAGAAAAGTGATACAAATTGCCATCGGGATAATTACTCTGAAGAATCTTTTCATTAAAAGGGTCTAAGAACATGAACATTTCAGAATTAAATTTTGTTATGATATCGGGATAAGTTTTATATTAACCTTCCATAGATGATGTTATAATACTGAGACATTTCAGATTTCTTTTTGGATCTTCTTTAAGAAGCTTTGTGCACCTATTGTAAATCAATTCTGCATAATCAGTTGACTTCATAATGCTAATGAATTATTATCAAGAATTTTTCCAAACAATCAACTTGCTGCAATTCTTTTGTTGAACATAGTTCTTCATTTGGATGTTTATAAATTGAGATGACTTTACTCTTCTGATCGATTTTCCATTTATATTCTTGATTTTTGAAACTTATGTCTATAGGATCTTTTGTATCATTTGTATTATCTTGATTTGAAACCAAAGCTTTAATACTGTCCATATCAGGAAAGATCAAAGTATCATTGTAAATATTTTCGGAAGTTTGGCACAAGTAAGTATTCCAACCATCATCCATATTATTGATACGCCAATTAATCTTGGTTAAATTAATTTCGGAACTTGAGATTTTTCCATTGACTAATCCAAACATCTTCTTCATCAGGTTGTTTTTTAATTTCAGTTATGTGATGTAGGCTTATATCTTGTTTTTTCTAAATTGGGTATATTAAAAGCCATGATATAGTAATTGCTTAATACTTCAATCGAAGATTTACTTTCTATTTGAATATTTCGAATTGAAACATGAATCTCTTTTGAATAAATCGAAATAAGTTTTTTATATTTTACTAAGACTAAATTTTCTCATTATAATATCTTCAACGTCTTTGCCGTCAAATTCAAGCGAATAACTAAATTCGAATTGAATTACATTTAAGTCCCATTGAAATAAATAATCTGGAGAAATGATCCATACTTTATCATCCTTAATAATTACTTTGCGTTCTAGGGCCGAGGAAACTTCTTCAAAAAAATTATTGCCTATGGAGATGATATGTTTTGATGTAAACATTAGTCCATTTCTTGTTTGAGAATAAACATTTATTAAAAACTCTGTAGTAAACGTTAATCCATCCTGTAGTACAAGATCGCCATTGTTTTTGAAATCAAATGAACGAAAACTGAGATTCAAAGCATGAACTTTAATTGGATGATTGTTTGAAATTTGAAAGGTTCTAATGTTATTTTCCCATGCATATAAAACAAATTTTTCATCATTAACTTTAATTTCATTAACTTCATCAGAATCTGGTAATGGATATCCATCCATTTCAGGGTCTCGTTTAAGTGGGGCACATTTAAAGTCGACAATCCATCCTTCAATTGAACGATCTTTGCTGCTATACGTGATTACATGTTTACCATTAGGAGATACAGATAGTAATGTTATTTGTTCTCCATTGTGCGCGGTATTATCATCCATTTTAATGTGTATTTCTTCGACTTCGCTCATGAAGATATACTTAGATTATTAAACAGTTTATTTAACAAAAATTAAAATGGTTAATACGTGATAAATTTTAAGACGAAAAACCATCTATATAAATGGGTGCAAATTATTCTGAGGCTTTTGAGGGCGCAAGTACGGGTCAATTCTCGAATTGTTTAAGATACGGAATAAATTACCGAATAACCAATACACTAGATATATCGATCGAAGATCGATATAGGTATTATATGTAAAATCTGCACGCAAAACTCGATTTTAGACGGGGTGTATAGACTTTAATATTTATTGTTTGCAACTTCACTTCGATCTATCGAAAATAAATTATTTTGAAATAAACTAACTAAACTAATATGATAAATGTTTAATTCATGGACTTTAAGCTTATTATATACCATGCTGCCTATTGATAATTTCACGGATGAAAAAATTTAGATCATACGAGGCTATGTAATTATACATAACCACCTGATAATTGTTATGAATTAGGCACGCCTACTAAGTAATTCCTTTTCTAAGATATGAATACATTAGATGAGGCTTATTGAAAACATAACATAGTTATTGGATGGGATCGCTCAGTTTGTTTTGCCGACATTGATCATTTTACTGGTTTTATTGCTTAGTTTACACGTCACAAAATTGAGTCGATACTCGATTTCTGCTTATCTAAATTTTGCATGTTACACAAGTCGTTTACTGAAATATCGAACCAATCCTCTGTCAAAAAACTTAAAGTAGATAAATAATCAAAATGAAAAGAAAAAAAATCACGAGAATTTCATATCAAAGGCGCAGCCAATGAAAACACCTGATCGCCGTCTTAAGTATTACAAACACGTATTCATGTGAAATAATAGGGGTCAGAATTAAAAAAAAAATTAAAAGAAAATGTCAAATAACCTTGAAAAATCAAGTTTCTATATCGATTGATTAGAAAAATCGATTGTTGAAGAAAATCTCATTCTTTTTGAATACTCGGATTTCAACAATTTACAACCGATAGGAAATGGTTCATTCGGAAATGTTGTGCGTGCTAATTGGAAAAATCTAGATCGTTTTTTTGCTTTGAAATCTTTCAATAATGATATGATCACTCTGAAAGAAGTAGTCAATGAGGTAAACAGATCATTATAATTGTTTAAAAGATTTATTAACATAGTTCAAATTAGTTTACTGTATTAATAAACTCTTTAATAGATAAAATTACAAAAAGAGTTGATTTTCATCCAAATATTCTGCGGTTTTGTGGTATCACAAAGGAAGAGATTGGTAAAAATGTTAGGACATCACAAAATCTTGACATATTTATTAAATTTTTTTTTTTAATGAATAGCGAACGTAATTCATCAAATAAACAAGTACTCTTTGGTTTTGGAATATGCTGATTGCGGTACATTAAATGCTTATTTAAATAAACATTTTAATGAACTTGGTTGGGATGACAAATATCGGCTATCTTTACAATTGGCAAGTGCTGTAGAATGTATACACGATTGTGATATTGTTCATTGCGATTTGGTAATTGTCAACTTTTTATAAAATCAATTATTTATTTGCATTGAACAATTTTATATTTAATTTATTTATAAAATATAGCACGCAGACAATATACTTATACATCAGAAAATTATTAAATTAGCGGATTTTGGTTTATCAAAAAAAATTAAAAAAATTGCCGAAGAATCAGTAAATGCATCGAAAGTATTTGGTATATTACCTTACATGGATCCGAAAAAATTAGATGATGTAAACAAGGGTTACAAATTTAATAAAAAATCCGATGTTTATAGTATTGGAGTTTTGATGTGGCAAATTTCAAGTGGATACCAACCATATAAAGGTCTTAATTATGATGAAAGTTTAACTTTATCTATATTGAATGGAAAAAGAGAAAAAGTTATTAATGAAACTCCACCCGAATATAGTATTCTATATCAAGGTAATTAAAATAAACTTTAATTTTTTTTTTTTTTAAAAAAAAAAAAAGAATTATAACATTATTTATTCAATTAGAGTGTTGGAAATACGAAACTGATGAGCGTCCAATTATACATAAGGTTGTTTCAACTCTTAAAGCAATTATTTCTCTTGAGCATAATGAAATTAAAAATGCCAATCTTATTGAAGAGGAAATTGATTTGTCAATAGAGGGTAAATCTAGTCTTAAATCCAATAAAGAACGAGATGAGGATTTAGAAGATTTAGAATTATCTGAAGATATGAATTTTTATAATAGGATTAATGAAAGTAATTCAAGTTTACAAAGTATAAATTCTTTTCAATCTAATATATCAGGTATAACGGATTTTAAAAAGGATTCACTAATTAATTTGACACCAAAAAATAAATCTAGCCTTAAATCAAATAAAGCGAAAGATGGTGGTTTAAATGATTCGGAATTCGAGAATGAAAATTTTTATAATAATGCTAATTTAAGCAATTTAAGTTTGAAAAGTACTAAATCTATTCAATCGTATATATCGGATTTTAAAATTCGCATATCAAGTTCAATTTTTCAAGATAATAATTCATCGAAAGAATCAGTAGATTCGATATTTATAAATCATTCAACAGTTGATAGATTAATTAACTTGGTAATTAAGAAACACAATGAAGGTATCACTTTTGATCAAATTAAACAATTTATTAAACTAAAAATATCTCAATTATACAAAATTGAAAATCTTTTAAATTGGATAAAGAAGCAGCAAAATTCACAATATATTTGGTTACTTGGATTATTTTATTATTATAATATTGGTATAAATGAAGATAATGTTAAGGGATATGAATTATTTCTAAAAGCAGCAGAAAATCTTACAATTTCACAATTTTATCTTGCTAATTGTTATTATAATGGATATGGGACCGAATGTGATAAAGCACTTTCATTTCATTGGTATCAGAAATCTGTAGAAAATGGAAGTATTATAGGACAGCACTATTTAGGGCATTGCTATGAGTATGGCATCGGAACCCAGCAAAGTAGTAAGAAAGCAGTTTATTGGTATTACAAAGCAGCTATCAATGGAAATATCACTGCTAAATTTTATTTAGCATATTGTTTTAGATTAGGAAAAGGTGTTAAAAAAGATAATAACAAAGCATTTAAATATTATAAATTATTAGCGGAAAAAGAAATAACTGAAGCACAATATCAACTTGGAAATTGTTTTTTTACTGGAGTTGGAACAGAAATTGATAAAAATCAAGCTTTATTTTGGTATAATAAAGCAGCAAAAAATGGAAATATTATTTCTAAGGATATCATACAAAAGTATTATAATTTAAATATTGAATTAGATAAAGCCAAAAAAAATAAATTTTATAGATTAATATACGTTGAAGTATTATGGTTGGTTGGTATGAATAATTACAATAGAATTGGAACAAAGCAAAATTATGAAAAGGCATTTTATTATTTTCAAAAAGCTGCAATTAACAATCATAAGGTTGCTCAATATGATTTTGCATTATTATATTATAATGGTAAAGGAACGGAAAAGAATTTTAGCTAAAAATGGTCAAATAAATGATCAATATAATCATGTTAAGACATCAAAAGCTGTTGAAATATGTAGCGAATCAATAGCGTGTCGTTATCCTTCACATAATTACTAACCCTTAAGAGTTCGATTCGTTATTTGAACGGATAGCAATAATTGGATGATAATTTAAGAAGTTTAGCAGATAGTCGCTAAGCCAATGATCATAATGAATAAATTTAGAGTTCGGTACAATTTCGAGTATATTAGGTCTAATTGTTATTTATAATACTGAAGTAAATTTGTTATTAAATCATCAACTATGCGAAGAATGTAAATTACAAATATATTCGTAACCTTAAATTACAAATATTCAAACGGATACTTAGTTCATGTGCCAGCAGAATTCCTAAATTCTTTGGTCTTCAGATTGTGGAGAAAAAAAACTCAGATTTTATTACTCCATTTTATATATACTAACTGTTTTTTATTTTTAGTAAAAATTAAAAATTTAATTTAATAAGTAATATTAATTGCAATTCTTTTTTTTTATTTGTAAATAATTTGTTTTATTTTTATTATATTTATATAAGTTGATTGATCGAGTTTATATTTTCAATTTTTGTGACATATTTTATCCAATTTCACTTTGCTAAAAAGTTTGAATATTTTTTTTTTGGTTTACGAAAATAATATCAAAAAAAAATGATATTATTCTTTTTTGTTTATATGGTTGGAATTATTTTTTTAACAGTATGAAGAATAAAATCTTGAGTAATTTAGTAGTTGAAACTAATCTGCGACTTTATTTGTACTAATTTATAAATAAAAATTTTACTTAATTACGCAACGCATTGATAATTCTAAAATGCACTGAACTCATTGAATGAAATTATTAAAATCAAATATTTTCTAAAAACTTAATGTCAATGAAGCTGAATACGAAACTGACCAGGATTAATTAATGAAACAACGGGATAAAGCTTTGATGGTAAATTTTTCCATCCCGAAACCACTGGATATCTTGTTCCATTAACGGAAAATGCACAGGTCTTTTTTTTCATATCTAAATGAACTGTAACTTTGCTATTATCCACTTTAAATGGAGAACAATAACTTATTGATTGTTTAGAATGATGATTTGTTTGACCTGAAGAACCTAATACCCATCCAGCACTCTGATATCCTGCAAATTCTTCATAATTAAGATTTTCTGGTGTGCATACTCCGACCCAAGCCCATGAACAATGTTTCTCAATAATAACATCCCATTCATAAATACCATTATTTTCTAATGGGAATTTAGCTATTACATTTTGATGTGTACTAACATCATTAGGCGCTCGTACAACTTTCCCATTATCCTCAATAATAAGTTTTGATCCACACTTAGTTTCGTCAAATGATGTTTGTAGAACTCCGCGTATCTCATATAAAACTGTCTTATTTAATAATGTATTATGTCGATATATGTTTAAAATCGTTTCAAGTGGGATAATGTTTAATGGTTCAATTATATTAACTAATATTTGTCCTTTGATTCGTTTAAAATCAATAAATTTTATCAAAGGTTCTTATTCTTTAGATACTTTTTGATGGTCAGGGATATGCTCATTATCAATTTGTTTAAAATTATCGATTTGTTCTAGAATTGGTAACCGATTCATAAGAGATCTGGTTGCATCATTAGAAATCTTCCTTGCTGTCAAAATGGCGCCATATCGAAGAACTTCATATTCTGGGGTTGCAAAAAGTTTTTCCTTTTCAAAAGTACAAGATAAAAGAATTTGAAGTGCTGTTAAAGACAAGCGACCAAATTCAATAGTATTTAATGGAATGGTTGAAACCGCTTCGACTAGTAAATTAACCAGAACATTATCTTCTGTTAATGGCATAGCATCGACAATTTCAGATAACAATTCTGGTGAATAATTATCCTTACAATTCATTAATAAAGTATTTCTAACGTTCTCCAAAATAAAATCTTGAAGGTCCGGTAGTAGAAAATAATCTGCAGCGATAAAAGCTTCAACGATATTATCTTTGGTTAAAGATTCATCTTTAACGATTCCTGTATAAATATATTCCAATATAATTTCCATTCCAGAGGAATTGATTTTTGAAAAAGAAATTTGTTTCTCATAACTTTCTCCAATTTTATTAAAAAGTAACCTGTCAAATACTTCAGACCTTGCTGCTAAAATAGATCTACAACCATATAATTTTTTTTCATTTTTGCATAAAATTTCTATATCACTATATTTTTTGTTATTGATTAGTAATCTTAAATCTTGTTCTAATGAACACCCTCTTGTCATTTTCTTTTATTTTTTTATTTTTATTTTTTTAGAAAGTAAAAGGGGAAAGAAATACAAAATTTGATAAGAATATTTTTTTTTTGAAAAATCATTTTATTTTGTCTTCCATATTTGGGTTTAGACAATTTCATTCTGCGTCATGTAACATAAATTTGTTAATCAAGATTTTATGATTATATAATTTTCTTTAACTTTGGCCAAATTTATAGCGCCGGTCAAAGTTAAAGTTTAACAGTTAATTGAACCGGACCGGTTAATGGTCTAGGTTGGCGAAAACGAAACTTTTATAATATTTTTTTTATGGGTTTATTTTGCAATGCAGAAATAAAAAAAAATAACAAAAAAATTGTGGAATTTTGTTTTAAAAAAATAAAATTTATGTATTGTGCATGTAATATAAACACCTTTTGCAGACAAGAGGTAATATTTTAATTTATTCTTTAGACCTATTAATCAAGCTAATAAGACCATTTATTTATATAATTATATGTTTAATTAATATAATAAAAAAAGTCGCCTTTTAAAATCGGATGCAGGTTTATTAGAATGAAACTAATGAAATTCGCTCAAAACTTCAATATTGAGGTATATTATATAAAATTCGTCTCCTTATATCGGATTTTAAAAAATACAAACTCATAAAATTTGCCTTCGAGGTTAGGTTCTGCGGCGAATTTCATTAGAAATAAACATTTACAAAAGAGTTGCCGAATTTGGAGCGAGTTTTAAGGAAAAAAAATTTTTAATTCGCCTCGGCCTTTTGAGGCGAGGTTATTAAAAATAAATTAAAATAAAATAAAGCTACCTACGGTTAGCGTCTTTTTTATGTCGATTTTTTTATAATCTTCAAAGTTCAGAGTAGTTTTTTTATATATAAATTATTAATAAATGACTCCTCTAAAATTATAGACCGAAAATTTCGATTTTTTCCGAAAGTTTTGGTTCGAAGGTTTATATCTTTTTTAAGATCTATATCTCATTAAACATTTTTAATGTTGCGAAATAATTATTACTGGATGGTTAATAATTATTTTATTAAACTAAATAACATAGTTGATTTGGTGCAAAAATTTGGATGTACCAAATAAAAATTCATTTTCTAATAAGCACTTTCCAAGAAATTTGGTTATCACCGTATTTTATTTACAAAATACACTTCAATTTAGTGTTTAAAGAGACCTACTTATTTTATAATTGCAAAAGGCTACGAACTTATTCTGTGTTTAAGATACGTTCAAAGCATGTAACTAATGCAGGGACGATGATTTTATGTAAATTGTAAATGCATAATTAATTTAATTCAACGCATAAAAGGTACTGTTATTAAGTTTGGTACCAGAAATACTTTTTCGAGAAATGCTTAAAAAAATTCTTGCATAACATTTACAATCACGTGATTAATATATTTGCTCTTTGCATCATTAACAAACTTGTTACGAATTCCACAGAGAAAGTAGCATACAAATAGGAGCTGCTTTTTCATCCGTGCTCGCAAACTTTTCATTTTTTGATGAAGGGTTAGATGAAAGATATAACTCATCAAAAAAGAATTACTCCCACGCATTAAAAATACTTTATTTTGATGATTTATTGCAGCATAAAATCAACGTTGTTAAGCTTAAACTGTTCGTCGTTAAGTTAACAAAGATTATTTGCTAGCAGGCAGTTTAAGTACGTCTAAACTATGGAAGAAATAAACACGAATAATTAAATTGAAGGGTCAGGTCGTCTTTATTGATAT